ATCACAAAGTTTCATTCACACCCTGCCCGCCTGCCTCTCTCTCTCTCTCTCTCTCTCTCTCTCTCTCACACACACACACACACACACACACACACTTGCCGAGCTCGGGGCTTATCCTCAAGCTGGGGGTAGCTTTGTTAGTGCTGAGTCGAATGGAAGACTCAAGAGTTTTCTTTCCATCCTTTCCATGAATCATGTGGCCCTAGTCCAAGGCCTTTGGCCCATGTCAGCCTGGGGAAATCTCTGAGCTCACTCAGATTTTCAGAATCCAAGCTGCTTCCTGCTGGGCCACGGTCCAGCTCACTGCTCCTCCAGGAAGCCGAATCTCCCTGGGACTCCTTCAGCCCTCAATGTCCTCTGGCACGGTCGACGTGGCAGCCACCTCCTGGCTGTATGGTCTCGATTAGTCATTCCACCTTGGCTCCATCTCCCTTCTAGTAACTTTCCACCCACATGATCACCTCCCCCGCACACTCCCGCACCTTCCTGGGTCTGGCTGACCTGGGAGCACATGCTCACTCGCTCACTCGTTCCTTCACTATCACTCCAGCCTCTGGAACACGCACCCACTCATGAAGCTCAGCAGTGCTGATGAAATGTTCTCCCCGAGGAACCCCTAGGGAGAAAGTGTTTTCATCTCTCAGGGGTTTCGGGGTGTCTGCCTGATGCAGCCTCTGCAGTCCCCAGTGGTCATCAGCGCCAAATTTGGCCAGAAAAAAACACATCAAGTAAGATAAGAACTGACAGGTGCCATTGGATTTAGTCATTAAGGGGTCATTGGTAACTGTAGTGAGCGCGATTTCCAGAGGAGGGAATGGAAGGGAAGTGGAGACGGGGTGGGTGCTGAAAGGAGGGGGATGGGATGATGGAACTGGAGAGATCTTATGAGAATGTGGCATCTTCAGAGGCCTCTGAAGGAGACTTTGACAGGCAGAGATAGATAGGCGTGGGGGCAGACTGGTGAGGTCATTCTGGGTGAAGGGAATGGCATGAGCAGGAAATCAGGAGGCATGCGCAGCTTATCTGGCCTTGGAGTAAGTCCCTTCCGCCCTTCTGCGAGGTTGGTGGACACTGCAGCCGTGTTCTCCGAGGAATTTTCCAGCTTTGGGTTTTTTTGGTTTACTGTGGCCTGGGGCTGGTGACAGGGCTTAGGCCTTGGGGGCTGGGGTTTGGGGAGCTGTTGAGACAGCCTTAGGAGGTCGTCAGCAGCCCTGGCTCAACTCCCTCCATAGAGAGGAAGCGGCAGGACCAGGCCCCGAGTGGGTTTAGCCCTGCCTTCAGAGCCTGTTTCCTGGGAAGAAGATGGCATCTGCTCGGAGAGTCTGTTCTAGACGCTACAGCAGTGGTTCTTAGAGTGTGGTGTCCACATACCAGCAGCATCGGGAAAGGACAAACTCTCAGGTGCACCCCAGATCTACTGAATCTGAAACTCTGGGGGTGGGGCTCAGAATGTGCGTTTCTGACAAATTCTCAGGTGATGCTGCTGGTCAGGGACCGCCCTTTGGGAACCACTGGCTTAGAGGCGCTATACTTTCCTTTTCCCTTGAGTAAGGGTGAGTGCTGGGACTAGCAGGACCGGCCTGCTCTGAGTTTCCACAAAGTGGTGGTCAGGACTTACTCGAGGCTGCTACACCCTGGGCTGAGGCTCTGCCTGCGAGGGGATGCCTCTCCTGAAGACAAAGAAATGAGGTTCCAGGACTGGCACTAGGGTAAACCTCCTCAGGGTCATGGCAGGTCCTTGGCAACCTGCTTAGTGGCCAAGGCGGTACTCTGTCTCTTTGCAGGTGTGTAACCTTGGGCAGGTAACCAACATCTCACAGCCTCAGTGTCCCCACTGTGAAATAGATTTACATCGACCTCAGTTGCTTTGAGGATCTGTGAGTCACCACACGTTGCGTACCTGGCTCCTAGCAGGACTGCGTAGTGCACGAGTGGTAGGAATTAATGGCACTTTCCTCCCCCTTCCCACAGCCAGCTGCCTGCCCTGTCTTCCGCCATCTCACATGCTACAGGGCCCAAGGGTCTTTCCTGGACTGGCAGATCATATTGGCCTCAGGGCCCTTATTTAGTATTAAATGTCCCAGCTTCTCTTCCACCAAAGATCCCCATCTCCCAGCTAGAAAATGTCTCTTGGTTGCTGCCAGGAGAAAGTCCCAATTCTGCAGTTGGATTCCGCTGTCCCGGGCCCTCTCCTTCCTGGCCTGAGCCATCTGTGCTAACCTGCCAGGCTGCCGAGTGGTCCCTCGTGTGATAAATTGAACAGCCAGTCTAGACAGTACGTGATCCTCTCTGCATTTTTCTCCCAGGGAGAGCAGGATGCTGTCACCACCCTTGTGTTGGGGGCGGTGTCCAGCACCAGGCTGCCATGGGGAATCACAGGGCAGGAAGAGGGTTGCTCCACCCAGTGCCTGCGTTCCCTGTCAGGTGACACTCCCATGCAGTGAAGCTGGTGACAGGGACGTCAAGTGGAGCAGATCCAGACAGAACCCGCGGCATTCATCTGGGACGGGAAAGGGAAAACAACCTCAGCAGGGCTTGTTTCTCTTCTCCAGGGGAGCTGCCTAGGGCAGAGTCTCTGTTCTCACCAGGGACCACTCTGTAGTCCCGATTCATTCTGAACCAGAGCTTGAACTTGATTGCTCTACACTCTCCTTCTGAACAATGAAAACAACTCTTCCTCCACCCCTCACCCCTCTCTGCAGCCCCTTTTCCTTTCAGCACAGCTAAGCTTCTCCTGTTGTCTCTATACTTCCTGAGGTCCCACTCCCTCCTTGCTTCACTGATACCCAGCCTCTGTGCCCATCCCTCCTGACACTGCTATCACCTAGGTCACCAGGGAGCCCTGAATCGCTAGGTGCCAATAATCCATCTCAGTCCTTACTGAGTTCTCTGATGCATCTGGCACAGCTGATGGACCATCCCTTCTAGAAAAGCTGCCCTCAACTTCCATCGCACCACTTCCTGGAAGTCCTTCAACCACTCGGTTTCTTCTTTGTCTCCACCCCGCACTCCTCCTTCTTTTCTCACCCTTCAGGGATGCTGACCCCAGGGCCCTGTCCTCAGCCACTGCTCTTCTCTTCCAGGGCAATTTCCTCAGTGAACTGCATCTGCCCCGTGGCTTCAACCTGCACTCAAGCGAGCCCTGGCCCAGACCTCTCCTCAGAGCTGCTGGCCCTTCTGCCCACCTGCCCAGTCCACAGTCCACTCAAACCCACAGGCACCTCAAACCCAGCAAGTCCAAAACTGCGCTGTGAGGTTCCCCCAAAGCTCTCCTGTGCCCGTGCTCCCCTCCCTTGAGAAGTGTCCACCTCTTATAGAAAATTATAGGAGCAGGTGAGAAATTAGAAATGGAGAAAGAAGAAAACAAAGTTTCCACAGTCCCAGCACACAGAAGCAACTACCTTGACTATTAGGGTGTATGCCTCCCAGCCTTCCTTCTATGCTTTTAATATTCCATTTTCCCCACTTAACATTCTAGCATAAGAATGCTCCCATGTTATTACTAATTCAGCATAACTTATTATTTTAAAGCTATTTGGAACAGATAGCACATTCCAACTGTACAAAAGGGGATTTGGTAAAAAGTAAATCTCCCTCTCACCCCTGACCCCCAAGTCATCCAGTTCCTTCCCCAAGGCAGCTGCCATTCCTGGTCATTTGCATATCTGTCTAAGGATATCTGTGCCCACACAAGAGCACCTGCAATGCCACCCACACCATTTTTACTCATAAAGTAGCACACCATGCACCCTGTTCTACACCTTCTCTTTTTTCATTTATTTTTAAAATTTATTTATTTATTTATTTATTTACTTGGCTCAGTTGGGTCTTCATTGCTGCACGTGGGCTTTCTCTAGTTGTGGCGAGCAGGGGCTACTCTTCGTTGCGGTGTGTGGGCTTCTCATTATGGTGGCTTCTCTTGTTGCGGAGCACGGGCTCTAGGCGTGTGGGTGTCAGTAGTTGTGGCACGTGGGCTCAGTAGTTGTGGCTCGTGGGCTCTAGAGTGCAGACTCAGTAGTTGTGGCGCATGGGCTTAATTGCTCTGCAGCATGTGGGATTTTCCTGGACCAGAGCTCAAACCCGTGTCCCCTGCGTCGGCAGGCGGATTCTCAACCACTGTGCCACCAGGAAGGCCCTCTTTTTTCATTTAGCAATCTATCTTGAAAATCATCCCCAAACTACTCGTAGTGAGCTTCCTCACTCTTGTTTCCTGGCTTTGCGTGCACCACTGCACAGCCACACCATAGGTTATCAAACTAGTCCTCCACTGAGGGACGTTTAAGTTGTTGTCAGTCCTTGTTATTATAAGTCAGGCTGTAACAAGGAAGTATGCGGCAGGGAGGGGGAGGCCCTGGGGAGAAGGAAATGGACATGAGGAAGCTTTGAAGGAGGAATTGAAGAGGCTTGGACTAAGTGAAAAGCAGTCATAAGCCTGGTAATAGGGCGACAGGAGGAAATGCAGATGGCTGGTCCACCATGAGTGTCATTCGGAGCTCACTGGCAGCGAGGGGAAGTAGAACACTAGAAAGATGAGGGCCTCTGATTCAGGCCCGAAGCACAGGAGGGAGGTTAAGGCCAGCGTCATGGGCCAAGGATTGAGCTCAGGGTGGAGGACGGACCCTGTGATAGGAAGTTGCTGGGCCCTGAGCCAGCTCCCAAAACCCTCACAACAACCTGAGAGGTAGTCACTTCCTCCCCATTTTACAGACAAAGAAGCAGGTGATAAAAAGTGGTGGACTCAAGTCCCGCTTCTCTACCACAGCCCAAGGGATGCCTGGGTGGATGGTTAATGTTTAGAGGGGAACAGAGAGGACAGCTGCCTCCAGAGAGGCCCCATATGCAATTCCATGCACTGAATTCAGAGTTTCTTCCCTGACCCCGTTGGGTCTCTGAGTGGCAAAGCCCTTGGATGAAGTGGCTGTCTGGGGCCTCCGAGGCCCTGCGTGGTACCCTGCCACCTATCTGCCTCTAACCCCAGGGTCTGTGCTCTTTGCTGGCAGGTTTTGCCCATCACTGTTTTCTTCAGCTGTGCCATGTCAGTTCTCTACTATGTGAGCCTCATGCAGTGGGTGATCCTGAAGGTGAGTTCTCAAGGTCCCAGCCCGGGCCCTCCCAGAACCACAGGCTGACAGGAACCACACTCTCCCAGAATGCCTTGCTCCCAAGCCCACACCCTCCCCAAATCCGCTACTCTGAGGGCCTGGACGTTCCAGCATCCCCTGCTCCCAGCCTTCTCTCAGAGTCTACTACCAACCAAACAACTTTTCACAGAGACTCTTGTCATACTACTAAGGAGAAATGGCACCAAAATCCAGTGGGGTCTTTGGGGGAGGGAAGTTTACAGAACTGGGGCTGCATTGAGGAGAAGTGTTAGGGGAAAAAATAATTTATACCAAAAAGATCTTGAGAGCAGTGGGTCACGTGGGCCAGACTTAGCTGATATAAATGTCAAATCCTGTGCTTATGTTCATAAAATCTGCTGCACAAAACCAGGATGCAGGAGACAGACAGCATTGGACAAGAGATTCTGAGATTTTTAGCTGACTGAGCTCAGAATAAACCAGTATCATCAGGCAGCTGCCAGAAGTGCAGCCTGTGGTTATGTTAAGAGTGGACAGTGCAAGGCGTAAGGGAGACAGTCATCCCCAAATCTGGAGAATGTGTTCAACCAAGGGGCTATGACAAACTGAACTATCAGTGGGTTCCATTTGAAAGGGCCTGAGACCATACATTCCATAGAATGGCTGAAGGAAGTAGGGATGAAGGGCCGAAAAACACTTATGGAAGTAGGATTCTAAACACTTATGGAAGGTTAGGGAAAAGGCAGCCTGAGAGGTACCTGCAGTGCAGAGAAATTCCAGGGAAGCAGATTTCATGTTGATTAGAAGAAAGAACTTTTAAATAATGTTTCCCAAAGCCTTTCACAAAACTCTAGTTTCACAGCAAGTTAATAAATGCTACTAGGTAAAGGGATCCCATAGTCAAATTATTTATTTTATTTTATTTTTGGCCATGCCGTATGGCCCAACCAGGTGTCAAACCCACGCCCCCTACAGTGGAAGCGCAGAGTCTTAACCACTGGACTGCTAGGGAAGTCCATTGGTCAAATAATTTTATGAAGCTAAGCTAGACACCAGGCTAAACAAAGTTAAACAAGTTTTGTGCAGGACTTCTCAGAGCGTTTAATAAACTGGTAAGTATTGGTCATCTCCAAGGTGTGTGTGTACAGCAATTCTCAAATATATTTGACCAGGGAATCCTTTTTTCATGGATGATAAGCCCCCATCAATGGAGGTGTGGAAGGAGAAGATGAATGGACCTTTGGGGAAATGTAGGTAAGGGAGTTCTACCTGGGTTGGGAGTTGGAAGGAAGACTTTTAAGGTACTTCCACCCCTGGCCCTCTCTGTCCCTGGGGCTTGCTGATACCAATCCACAAAGAGCCCCCTGCTTCCTTCTAGATCTCCTGGCTGATACAGGCCACCATGGGCCCCATGGCCACGAAGACCCTGAGTGTGGCTTGAAACATCTTTGTGAGCCAGGTCAGTATTGCAGCCTCCTGCCCTCAAGGAGGACGGGTGCCCTGGGTCCCTAGAGCTCTGATTCAGTCAGCAGAAGAGCCAATCAAACCTTCTCCCAGGGTCACCAAAGGCTGCTTCCCTAGGGATGCTCCATTTGGGGATATACTCCTTGCCTGGGTCATGCCAAAGAGGATAGTATCTCCCTGGCACCTCCTACCACCCTAGGCCTCGGCTGTCTTCATCAGCTTAGAGACTCACAAGTCCTACAGATGGAGTCTAATGTTCTTTTATACATGCAGAAACTGAGGCTCGGGGCTGGGAATGCCTTGCCAAGATCCCACAACATAAGCCAGGACTTAGAATCCAAGTCTTCTTCTTCCTGGCCAGGGTTCCTTCCACAACATCAGTTTATCTTTTTTTCCCCTCCCTCTTTCTGAAAATGTATTTTCCAATATAAGTGTGACTCTGAAGGGACTATCAGTCCTGAGTCCCTTTCAGAAGGCCGGACCCTCCTAGGGGTAAGACTCTGGTGACTGTTCCAGAATCCTGGCCCATCTGCCCAACATGTAAGTCACCAAAAAAACATACTTGCCAAAGTATGCCATATTTCACTGGGCAGTTTAGGAAACTTTGGAGAATATTTGCATCTTTTTTGCTATGATGCAAGTGTGTAGATTTCAAAGGTTTTTTTTTTTTTTTTTAAGCCAATTAAGACAGATGTGCTCTGAGATAAATAGTCCAAAATCCCTTAGTTGTTCAAAATGAGGCAAAAGAGAAAAAGATATTTCAGTATCAGCATTTATTTTATATAAAATGCTGCAAATCTAATCAATGGTTTTTGCTGAGAAAAGACAAATCTTAGGTGAATGTGACACGATAACCGGAAGAGCTCCAAAGACGAATTAACTTTTGCGGGGACGGGGAGCCTTCAAGGATTAGTGGTATCATTACAAGCGCAGTGTTGGCAGGCCTGGGCCCTGTTCTCTTCTCTGGCCACAGTCTGTCCCCAGGGGATTGCCCCAGCCCCATGGCTTAAATACTTCCTCTCCCCTAAACTCCAGTCTGATATATATCCAACTGCCCCCTTGACCCTCCACTTGGATATCCTTAGATAATTTACTAGGCAAGTCCAAACAAGCAGAACCCTTGATTCCCTCCCTCAACACACATGCACGTCTCCAAGATTTTCCCTTCTCAGTAAATGGCAACGTCTTCGATGAGGTTGTTAGACAAAAATCGAGGAGTCATCCTTCCTTCCTTTGCTTCCCTTGCTCCCAGCTGCATCCAGTCCATCAGCAAATCCTGCCAGCTCTGCCCCACATCACATCCCAGACCTGCCCTGCTGCCCTTTTTCTTTTTTTTGCTATGAGCCACACTTGTCTCTCACCTGGACAATCACCTCCTCTCTGTTCTCCCTGCCACCATTGCTGCCCCTACCCATCCTTCACACACAGGCTGGAGTAGCCCTTTATTTATTTATTTTTAAAAATTTTTAATTATTTATTTATTTTTTGGCCGTGTGGCATGTGGGATCTTTTTTTTAAAAAAAAATTATTTATTTTTGGCTACTTTGGGTCTTCATTGCTGTGCACAGCTTTCTCTAGTTGCAGCGAGCAGGGTCTGCTCTTTGGTGCAGTGCGTGAGCTTCTCACTGTGGTAGCTTCTCTTGCTGCAGAGCATGGGCTCTAGGCATGTGGGCTTCAGTAGTTGTGGCTCATGGGCTCGAGAGCACAGGCTCCGTAGTTGTGGCACATGGGCTTAGTTGCTCCGTGGCATGTGGGATCTTCCCGGACCAGGGCTCGAACCTGTGTTCCCTGCATTGGCAGGTGGATTCTTAACCACTGCACCACTAGAGAAGCCCAGCATGTGAGATCTTAATTCCCCAGCTAGGGATCGAACCTGCGCCCCTGCATTGGAAGCGCAGAGTCTTAACCACTGGACAGACAGGGAAGTTCCCTGGAGTGGCCCTTTAAAAACCCAAGTCAGATCATGCCTCTGCCTGCTGAGGTCCACTGCTTACCCTGCCTTGTCCATCTGCCCTCCACCTCCCCCATCTCTATTCCATAGCACAGTCTGGAACATAGTATGTACTATAATTATTTATTGAATGAATAAACGAATGGCTCCAGGCTTCCCCACGTGCCCTGAACTAAACACGCCATTGAATGCCCCAGTTCCTTTCTTTCTGGCAACTCCCATGGCTTCACTAAACGTTCAGGATTGGAGTTACATCTGCTTCTGGTCCTTTGCACGAACAGAGGTAATTCTTTGAACCTCTCTGACCTTCTGCTCTCCTGGAACGTGGAGACGACCACTTCTTTCCTAGAAGGTTGTAAGTGATGAGTGTGAGGGGCTTAGCTGGGTTCCTGGATGTGGGAGGCACTTGACACAGGGGAGCGTTATCAGGCCCAGAGGAAGGCCTGGGGGTCCTTCCACAGAGCTGGGCTGATGCTGAGGTTCAGAGAGGCTCAGCCAAGTACAGACTCTGGTCCTCACCCCACCCTGCTGTCTCTTCCCCTGGGGTCCCCAGCCCTCACTGTGACCTGCTCACTCCTGGGTGGAGAGGGTACGCCCCAAGTGCCCATGCTAGCCTGACCAGTGCTGCTTGTTTGACATCTTTCCCGTTTGCAGACTGAGGCTCCTCTACTGATCCGGCCCTACTTGCCAGACATGACACTCTCTGAAATCCACGTTGTCATGACCAGAGGCTACACCACCATTGCCAGCAGCCTGCTGGACGCCTACATCTCCTTTGGGGTATGTAGAGCCCTCCTTCTGCTTGCTGAAAACGAAGAACCTGAACCCACCTTTGTGGGAGCCCCACACAGCTCCGGGCCAGAGCGACCTGGGGTCTTCTCTCATGGGCTACGTCCTAAACCAGGGCTGCTGTGATGGTGGGAGGAGAAGCTTCACCTGAGTAAGGCAGGCCAGGTGGGCTGGACCATTTGGGCTTCTCACGTGGCCAGTGGGAGCAAAGGTTTCCAGTATTCTGCTTACTGAGGCAAAGTGCTAAGTGTTTTAATATCCACATTTCAAGGATGAGGAAATTGGGACTCAGAGAGTAAGTGAGATGCCCAAAGCCAGGGTCTGAGCCCAGACCTGTCTGACTCCAAAACTCAGACACACAGTCCCCCACCTAGGCCACCCCTGGAGCTTTGTCCTACTCTTCCTGTATCCCGTCCTCCCACCTCCTCTCTTTTACACCCTCTCTGGGCACAAGTCCTTCCTCTACTCCTCAATTATTACTTGTGCAGCTTTCTGAGCACAGTACATTTCTAAATCAAATTCCAGTGGTATGAATCAGGCCCTTAAACCAATCACAACCCTAGTGCATGGCAAGCAGAGATGAATCTTCAATGTGTCCCCTACAAAGTGCCTGGTAATAATGCATTACATTTGTGTAAAACACTGTACTTGTTTGTGTTTTCACATGCAAGTCTTTCAAGATCTTATTTTTTTCCCCTTAAATATCGAAGAAATTCTTGCTTCTTACAGAAGTGAATAAAGTAAAAAAAAACAAAAGAAAACACTTCACTCCCACTTCCCATGGATAACTGCTCTTACTAGATGAGAACAGCAGTGCTCAAAGTGTCCTCAGTGGGCCAGCAGCGACACCTTCACCTGGGAACTTGTTAGGAATACAAATTCTTGGGCCCCTCTGTAGACCTGCTGAATCAGGAATGCTGGGGATGGGGCCCAGTGTCCTGTATTGTAACAAGCCTTCCAGGTGATTCTGATACTCGCTCAATTTGGGAGCCACTGACTTAAAATATGTCATTCCAGATATTTCTGTGTAAAAAGTCATTTAAGTACATATAACTGAATATACATATACTTGCTTTTTTTTTTTTACTAAAGATGAGGTAATTCTATTTACACTTTTCTGCAACTTGCCTTTTTCTTATAAAATTTTGAGCATGACATGAAATCCGAAAGTGTAAAGGAAAAAGTTGACAGAGCTAACTAATAAAAATGAAAAACCTCTGAAAGGTAAAACATCACAATTTTTTAAAAGTTTAATGATTGATCAAGAAAGAAAAGTTCATAAATGATAAACAGATATTCAAGCTCACTGATAAATTAAAACAATAATAACTTATATTTCTTCTCAAGGATATGCCAAATTTTACATGCCTCTAAACGGCAAGGCTGAGAGGCATTCATATACTCTTTTTTTTTTTTTTTTTTTTTTCTGTGTTGGGTCTTTGTTACTGTGCGCAGGCTTTTCTCAGGTTGCGGCGAGCGGGGGCTACTCTTCATTGCAGTGCGCGGGCTTCTCATTACAGTGGCTTCTCTTGGTGCAGAGCACGGGCTCTAGGCACGCGGGCTTCAGTAGTTGTGGCTTGTGGGCTCCAGAGCGCAGGCTCAGTAGCTGTGGCACACGGGCTTAGTTCCCCGGCATGTGGGATCTTCCTGGACCAGGCCTCGAACCCATGTCCCCTGCATTGGCAGGCAGATTCTTAACCACTGTGCCACCAGGGAAGCCCCACATACTCTTTATGCGAGTGTAATTTGCTCTAACCTTTTTGGAAAACACCTATCAGTCAATTTAAAAATACTCCTCTTTGATCCAGTTAGGAATATTATGATACAGAAATATTTTCACAAGTGGTCAAAAATGCAAAATTCCAACATTATTTGTAATAGCAAACAACCCAAGAAACATAAATGTAGAGCAGTAAGGGAATGAGCTGGATAAGTTCATCCGTGCAAAGCATGGTCACTCAGCCCCTAGCACCGGTGAGGTAGGCCTCCGTGCGCTGGTTTGGAGAAGGGCAGCCTGCCTCTCCCAGGGCCCAGGCTCTCCTGATGCTGTGTGTGAATGGGTCGGGGGATGAAAGAATGACCAGCATTGGTCTCAAATTCCACCTGTCTTTCTCATCTCTGTCCTTGAGGATGGCCAAGGGGATGAGGTAACCTGCCCCACAGTCCTTCCTTCCCTCAGGACACCTGGGCCACACCAGGAGGCTCAGCTCCACATACCCACAGAGCTGTCTGGGCAGGATGGCTGCTGCGTTGTGACTTTTCAAGAAGGCCCCTTGCACTCTGAGGCTTTGTCTTCTCCGCCCAGCACCCTCCACCTAGAATTTTAGAGGTCATCTGGTTTGCACCTTTTCTCACCAAGGCCTAGGAAGGGCCCATCAGAGCTGATGCATGCCACCCCCCTCCCCCATACCTCACCACCAATTGATTTTGGAAGGAATTTGATATTTCAAAAATGGAAACTTTGTTCCTGAAACTTTTTTCATGGTGGTGTATTGGGGGAGGGGTTGCCCTGCTATCTTTGGGACTTAGAGCCTTTAAATGTCTTAACCTTGCTTTGGGTCCCGCAAGCCAGTTAAAAGAATGGTATTCTTTCTATCGCATAAGCGTCGTTGCCATTACTTAAGACTAAAGTACTGGAAGAACTCTCTCCCTTTTCCACAATCGCCTTACAGCTCAGCCTCCTTTCCTTCCCTGTCTCAGGCCAGAGTCCAGGCCCAGCCCCAGGCAGGCGGGCCTTCCCACTGAAGGTGCCTGGTACCCACCTCCCTTTAGCTCTACAGAATGTGCAGAGGCCACCAGGATCAGCCTAGTGGTCGCGGGTCTCCATCCACAGCCGCTGGTACGGAAGCCCCAGGCTACCAGCATAGCTGGCCTGGTGAAAGGCACCTAGTCCTCCTTCCTTCCCTCCTCCTCTCCCGCCTCTGGATCTGCCCCCAGGCTGGTCACAGAGAAGCTCTCTTCTGCCCCCACCTGGCTCTTGGCCGCCACTACAGCAGCCCCCAGGCTTCCTCCCGCAGCCCTTCCCACCCTCTCCCCTCTCTCCTTTCACGCCCTCTTCCAGGCAGTTCCTCACTGTATCTTGGGCTCTGCCCTTAGCCCCTGAATTCCAAAGAGAATCCCCCTTTCTCTCTCCTCCTTTCTCTTTGATGCTCAGCTTCTGGCTGCCTCTTCCCTGTACCCCTCCTATTGCTAAAATCTGGATATTTCTAGACCTGTGCTGTCCAACACAGCAGCCACTAGCCACACATGGTTATTAAGCCCTTGAAATGTGGTCGGTCTGAAATGAAATCTGCTGTGAGATTTAGTATGGAAAAATCAATTAATATATTTTATTGATAAGTTTTACATTGATTACAAGGGTAGAAAATAATATGTTAGGTATATTGGGTTAAATTAAATACATTAATGAAATTAATTTCATCTGTTTCTTTTTACTTTTTAATTGGCTGCTAGAAAACTTAAATCACAGTTGTGCTATATTTGTATCAGATGACACTGGTCTAGACCTTCTCCCTGGTCTGAGGTCCCAAGTGTCACTTGACTGAATCCTTTCACTGTGACCTCCACATACATGTCCCTTTTCAGTGTGTTTCCCAAAAACTCTAAGGTAGGCACGAGCTCTCTCTGCTAAAACCCCAGAAACTGGCCTCCCTACCCACCCATTTGGCTTGGGATCATTGTGAAAAGAGATCCAGATGTGTGCCTTGGGCTGTGAACACAGGATGGGTTGAGGGGATGGCCACTGATGTTTCTCAATCAATTATGCAAGAGTGGGAGCCCCTGGGACAGGGTCTGGGAGGCCCAAGGAGGGCCAAGTAAGAGTAAACCACATGCTTAGTTTCTACACCTGTAAAATGGGTGGAATTACTGCCCACCTCACAGCAGTCTAAGAATTAAATGCCATAATAAACAGAAAACACCTGGCAAGGGACTTCCCTGGTGGTCCAGTTGTTACGACTTTGCCTGCCAATGCAGGGGGGTGCGAGTTCGATCCCTGGTCCGGGAGCTAGGATCCCTCATGCCTCACGGCCAAAAAACCAAAACATAAAACAGAAGCAATATTGTAACAAATTCAATGAAGACTTTAAAAATGGTCCACGTCAAAAAAAATCTCAAAAACAAAAAACAAAAAAACACCTGACATGGTGTTGAAAAAGTGGTTGTTCTTTCTCTGGCATATTAGGGTCAGAAGTCCAGCCTTCTAAAACTGGCCCATTTTATGCTTTGGAGTGTCTGGATTTATTTCCTTTCTCAGTAAAGACCTTTCTGCAAGTTCAGATGGGTGGCTCCTCCCCTCTATCCCTCCTCACATTGGGTAGAGGAAGGAGGGCCTTGGGCAGGAGTGGGCCCTGTCATGCTGGGACAGAAGGCGTTCCTGACCTGGTGTCTGGAGGCAGCGTTGGGGAATGTCATGGCCCTGAGGCATAACTGGCAGCAGAGAGGCCATGTGTGAGCTGACCCAGTGCCCCCGGGAGCCCTGCCAGTGCAGGACTCAGCCCTTTCCAAGATGAGCAGGAATTGACTGCCTGGGGCATTTGAGGCAGTGGCCACGACTGGCCCATTCAAAGGACAGTGTCCAGGAATGTGCAAGGTGTGCTCCCCACTGAGACTCGAGCTGACAAACCTGATGTAGCCTCCAAGCTGGAGGAAGGGGGAGGGTCCTGGCTGGTGGAGGGGAAAATCCCAAGATTCCAGATGTGGTATTGTGCCCGCTGGAGCTGGGCGGCTGAGGAGGAGGCCAGCAAAGTCCCAAAGCTTGGCCTGGAAAGTCCAGAGAGGACACCTGCCTGAGGCTGGCTATTTCCATGAGGAGCAAGGCCTGCACACCCAGTGGCTGTGATGGGGGCGCGTGGGAGGTGGGTGCTGGAGCTGGTACACATCTTAAGTGGTTTCTGCTTGCCGCTGAAAGGAAACAAAGGGGCTTTAAAAGAAGGAGGAGGAGGATATTACAAGGCTTTCAGAGCCTCAGAGGGTCTCTGAGGCCTGGTTCCTCATCAGTAGTTCCTGGTACTTCCATGGGCCTCTTTGGCCGTCTGCTTTACTCGCCTGAACATGTAGCTTAAACTTACCTCCCCTCCTTTTGTTCCTTTTTATTTAAAAATTTAAAACTGCAGTTGATTTATTACAAACTTTAAGAAGAAGTCTATTTTACTTTTCTGCTCATAAAAACAGTATATATCATGTGGACATTTAGAAATATACAGAAAAGCTGAAAGAAAAGAAAATCACTCTGGCCCCACTAGCCAGGGACAGACAATTGGTTGACATTTTGGTGTATTTCTTTCTGATCTTCTTTTTATGCATAGTTGTGGAGTTTGTTTTTTTCCCTATCATTGTGGGTATGCTCTATATGCAAGTATGCAGGCATTTCTCCACATTATTGTGAAGCCTTGGTAACCATTGTTTTTGATGGCAGTTTGACAATGCATAGCCATCCCCCCATTGTCAGATGTTTGGGTTGGTTCTAATTCTCCCGTTTGGTAAATAACACAGTGGTGAAAAAGTGTTCCATCTCTGTGAAGAGAACAGGGAAGCAAAGGGTTTGGGACCACACTGAGAATGAAAATTCAGCAAGGGAGAATCCCGGGGGGTCTGGCAGCTCCATCATCTTGCTGTGAGGGCTTCTATAGCCTGGCTCCAGGAGACCGACCCAGGGTCAAAGGGTGGGTGTTGTATGTTGTAGGGGCAGATTTCCTTAGAAACAGCTCTGACCACAGGAGTAGACGTGACGGGCTGCCTTGAGGTGGTGAGTTCCCTGACACAGTAAGTGACAGGAAGGATCCTCTAGAGGGAAGACTTTCCTTTACTACGAGGTCAAATTAGGTCACATCTTGGATCCATTCCAACTCTCAGGTTCTGTGAGCTTTGTCTGAAACCATCACAAACCCCTCAGCCAATGATGAACCAGCCCTCAGATCAGTGGTCAAAGAGAGACAGCCTAGAAAGGGAGGAAGAACCTTGAACTTGGAGCCAAAAGACACAACGGGTCTAATTCCTTCCCTTCCTTTATTTTGGGCAAGTCATATTTAACCCTTTGGGGCCTCAGTTTCATTGTCTGTCAAGTGAGATAACAGTACTTGCCCTGCCTAACTTCCTGAAGTCCTGGGGGAGGTGTGGGAATAGAAGGTTCTGTGCATACAGCCTGTGACCCTCTACACATAAAATGTATTACTATTATCAGTGACAGTGACAGCAGTACCGATGATGGTGATATACCAGCGGGGTAGAGTACCATGTCCCCCTGCTGCCCTGGGCCACACTTCTTGGCCTCCACATTTCCTGACATCTCTCTATAACCCTCATTCTCACTCTTGCAGATCGATGCTGCTTCCTTAATTGCTGCCTCTGTGAAGGCTGCCCCTTGTGCCTTAGCCCTCTACCCGGAGGTGGAGGAGTCCAAGTTCAGGGGTGAGGAAGGAGTGAAACTGACCTACAGGTGAGCAAAGCAGGAGGGTTTGCAGAGAGGGGAGTGGGGGGGAGGGGCAGAGACAGGAGCAGAGGTGGGGGCAGCAGCAGGTCCTATTTTCTCTGCCCATCTCTGTCTTTCACCAAGCGCAGCCCACCTCCTCTCTCTCACTGCCCTGGTTGCAGCTTCACTTGTGAAGATATAGACTCCAGTTCTCGCTTCTTATTTTCCAGTCTCTGACCAGCAGGAAACATGGACTAGTCAAGGCATGGGCAAGTGACCTGGTTCTTGGGGATGTGCCTGGTGTGTGTGTGTGTGTGTGTGTGTGTGTGTGTGTGTGTGTGTGTGTGT